CCTGACAAATGTTCAACACTGGCTCCACTATAGAGGATAATCAGACAGATTCTAGGACTGATTCACCCTTCCCAACAGTTGCAGGGGTGCTGCTGATTCATGGTTGATCTGAACAGATTTTCGGTTTACAGACAGGTTTCTCTGTATGTGTGAATGCAAATATCCGAGTGAGAGCCTCTTGACTTTCTTTGGACTTTCTCCATTCGGCCCCCTGGTATAAAGCTGTTGTGAGAACACAGCAGGAGAACCTCTGCAGGATTCAATGTGAGCGAGTTGGCGGGTTGATGATATTTCTAACACACAACAGATGCACAATTAAGAAAAAGCAACAAAAAAACCCCACTAATTTCTCTGGATGAAAAGCTGTGCTATACTTGGAAGACACAGACGTGGTGATAAGAGCACATCTATTACAATTAATACAATACATCCCAACTCTGCCTGGTGCACCATCATTTTCTATTACTAATGTATTTTGCATTCATTTGTCAGTCTTTATTTTTACATTAATTAATTCCTATATTTCGGGAAATAAATGTATAAATGTAAAGTACAGTCAACTACATGCATAAATAAAAGTGGAGGTACGTTCACTATAAAAACTAATATATTTCGTTTTACTGTTGTATTCAAGTATTTATTAATGAATGGCATTCACTTATTTCTCATATGTTATCAAGTTCTTTATATCCATCCATTATTTAAAGCTGTGGCTCAGGAGGTAGAGTGGGTCATCCACTAACCAGGAGGTTGACAGTTTGACTCCCGTATCCCCCTATATCGTGTGTCTTGGTGAAGGATATTAAGCCCCAAATTGCCCCTGATGGCTGTGCTGGCAGTGTATGATTGATGCATGAAAGAGAAAGTGCTGCATGTGCAGCTGTGTGTGAATGTGTGAATGGCAAAACTGTTCTTTGAGCACTTTGAGTGGTCATCAAGACTAGAAAAGTTCTATATAATTACAGACCATTTACCATACCGCTTATCATTTTGAGACTGGCGGAGAAGCTGAAGTATTTAATTAACTTAATGGCATTAGGATACGTGTCTTTGGACTGTGGGAGCAAACTGAAGTACCCAGAGAAATCCCACGCTAACAGAGGAAGAAGCTGCAAACTGCACACAGAAAGACCAGACAGGCCAAACAGGATTCGACCTGAGCGTCTTCATGCTGTGAGGCAACCGTGCTAACCACTGAACTCCCGAGCTGACTTGGTTATATGTTCATTATTTTTATTTCTTGATCCGCCCGTTAATTTGGATCTGTACCGAAATTGAGTGGGTTCTCACCTGACCCATACTGCATCCTTCCACCAATTTCATGGTCATTTGTCCTGTAGCTTCTGCTCATTAACGCCAGACAAACAAGACAAGAACATAACCTCATTGCCGAAGGTAATTAAAAAATGTTTCAAAAGTTCTTAACAGAACCATGACAAGGAGTGGGACTCTGCGAGGTTTCATTAAATCTGTTTACCAGGACCCTGTACTGCATTAAAGCGTTTGTTGTGTAATTGATTTTTATCAACGTTTCATATCATACAGTTCAAGGGAATGTTTTTTCTGTTGTCTGTTGCTGCAGGTTGTGAGGTTTTTCATTAACTCTATCAACAAATATTGAGAGCTTAATCCAAATACATGTGATAAGAGATGTCAATGAATTTAGAGTGAATATTTGGATTTGATAACAGCTTTGACTACATTTAATTGTACCCCAAATGTGTTGCTGTGACGCATTTTATGTCTGCAGTAAGATAATGTTTTATTTGGGTCTCAAGTCAAGCAATGCAGCACAGTGGTGCAGCCAGCAGTCAGTGCATGGCAAAACAGATTTTCAATAATACAATGCAAATAAATACGCTACAAAAATCAGCAGGAAAAAATGAGCCCCTCATTTAGGGAATCTTTTCTAAGCAGTAAAATGATTTTAGAATTTTACAGAATGTAAAATGGTCAAAAAGAAAAGTTAAAAAGTACACCCTATGAAGAATAGCATCTTAGTGACAGCACTATCAATGTTACTGATGTCACATGATATGAACGGATGTATCACATCTGTCCCAAATTAGTTGAGGTTATGTTTTCTATGTAAAACCGTGGGTCTGCCGGCCAGGACAAAGATAATCATTCACTTTTCTCAATGATACGGACAAATTATTGATTTATCCTCAAATTGAATGAATGTATCCTATTTATTCATTACAGAATAAGATGCAGAAGTTATTTGTTAAGAACTGTCTGTGTCATCATTCACGTGAAAATAGATGAGAAACAGAGAGAGATTGTGTCTTTGAATTAAAAATTAGGAGTGAGGAAATTGAAAAAAAGAAAGAGGGCAGGATGTCCCTGAATAAAGAATGCGTGTGTTCCTGGGAGCCCTTGAAGTCGAGCAGTTCACTGGACAAAAAACTCAAGAGCAAAGTGATTAAAGAAGCAGCAGCACATAGCTCCACCGTGTTAAACGCCTCTTTAAAGCTCTGGCTCTATTCTGTACACAGTTCATGTCATACTCACAAGTTGCACACACACACACACCCACCCACACTCTGAATAAGGAGACTTATCATTCACATCCATCAACACATAAAGACATTTTTTGATCATCTTTTTCCTACAGTTTTATCTAATGTATGTGTAGATTTCTCTAGTTAGACTTGTGGTAATTGCAAATTAACAATTGAATCCAATTTACGAGTAAATCAGTTTGTCTACTTAAGCAGGGGTAAACCGCTGAAACAGTAGCTGTGCTCTGAAAGTAACAAGCAAAATGACAGAATATGTGCTTCTAACAGTAAGTACTGCTCACAAGTGGGTCAAAATGGGGTTTTTAAAACAAGCTGAACTGATCAACTTCACGATAAATGAACTGATTGAAGCAGTAGATATCGTATTCTCATTTTGTAGATCTAATCTGTTAATCAGAGGTGTTGATATGTTGTAAATGGACCAGTTACTTTCAGTGAGTAACAATGTATGCAACATATATTGTAATGAATACAGGTGTTAAATTAAAATCCGGTTGTGTTGAGGGTTGATTTCCGATCAGCAGTTAATATGTGATTATCATGTGGCTCCATGATGCTCCTGTTGTTCTTCTTGAGGACATCAGGTCATGTGAAGTGGGAAGTGCAAACTCTGACGTTCAAGGTTCTGCACTTATACACTGACACAGACATATGTTGAATAGAAATAAGAACATGTGGTAAATGAATGATTAGGTTTATTATTACTCCTGAGCAGCTTTGTTCCTCATCCTCCTCTTATTCAAGATGCAATTATAAAAAATGAGATTCATTCTCATAGGCACATAGAGGTAACGCACAAACCAAAGACTCTGGACAGTAAAGTGCATCACACAAACAACCACGCACATCAATAACACACATACACACATGCATAAACATCCAGAAGGTAGGGGATTTAGGGCTCAGCGTCTCAGATTAAGTTGATGGTTTATAAAGCTGGCCATGACTGGCTGTCATTTCTTCCCCCTCTCTCTGCTTTACTCAACCTCTCGTTGTGTCTCTTCTTGTGTGTGGCTGAACTCAGTGATCAATATTTAATTTGAGTTGTTAAGAAATTCAAAAAAAATGATAAAAAAAAGACAAATGATATTCTTGCACATATTTTATACTCCGGTCTCTGTGTGGGGAATACAAATCCAGCAAGTCTGGCAACCAAGTGAACAATTATTTTGTGTGAAGGCAATTTAAAGCTTTGTGTAGCAATTGAAAGCTAACTAGTGCAGTCCATTGTAAACCTGCCTCTTTGGAATGGGTTGTTTATTTGGCCTGTGTTAATGCTCTGGAGCTAGAATTATTTCTTGTCATCAGTGAGTCCTCCTCAAACAGTTCTGCTTGTTATTGTTTGTGTGCTGGATGTGGTGTGCAGAGGTTTTTATAAACAGTCTATGGTGCACAGGTTAGTCGGAAAACTTTGCATTTATCGTAACTGGTTTGTCTGCCCAAAGGTTTTTATAGTCAATGTTTTTCATAAATTGGGGCTGAATGTGCTTTATTACTCTTCACGTGTCTGTTTTTTAAATGAACTTTGGATGATTTGCTGTACTGCTGTTATGTTTTCATACATGCACGTCACTAATTCTGAGGTCTGTTAAGCAGCCAACACAATCTTCAGTATTCAACTTTCAAAATAAAAGCTCTGCAATTCCGCTCAGTATAAACAATGATGACAACACAGGAGCAGTATGGAGACATGTTATGTTTTATCTGTTGTTTTCTGTATGTCTGAAGAAGGGGTTCCATTTACTTCAGTTGTATTGGATTTGGCTGCAGCACTGTTTACCCCTGAGACTCCTAAAGTGTTTTGTATGATGGATAATGAGTGAATTTTCATGTTTCTGTGAACTATTCCTTTAATCTTGGTCACATATTGCACAGAAGTGGAGGTCATCCTTACTTTACAAAGTTAGGTGATTATTTATTTACATTCATGAAAAAAAACCTTATGTTTTACAGTTGCATTCATGCTTTGATGAATATCAGAGCAGGCAGGTACATCACACGTTACACAGTACATTTAGACTGAAAGCTATGAGAGTGGCTGTGTATCCTCCATACTAAATCAAATCTTTGAGGTAGTTTTGCTCTTCAGTAGATATAGAAACCACATAAAACTTTGATTGAAGAATCAATCAAGGGAGAAGCATTAATACAAAAATGAATAGAAGCATACGACATGAAGTGAATGTCTTATTACTAATTAAGGGAAACCCATTCACACACACATTCATACAATGCATCTTTGTGCAGCAAAGACATAGCAAGGACACTTCGGCACACGGAATGGGTAAGACGGGAATCCAACCGCCGACTGATTAGTAAAGCAACCGCTCTAACCCCTGCCACTGCCGCCCTAATGAGTCATTGTGTTGGCAGTCCAACAGCCCCTCACTCTTTCTATCTGAGTTTCTCTGGCTTCATCCTTTATCTTCTTCTGTCTTTGTTCCTCTCTGTGTGTATGTCTTTCCACCTTTGCAGCTGTACAGCAGCATGCCTTTATGTTTGCCTCCAGCACAAGCAGAAGCATTATGGAAGTGAAAGAGCGACGTCCATACTGCTCACTCACCAAGAGCCGCAGAGACAAAGAGGGACCATACACTGGTGAGACTGTTCAGATTGCTTACTGATTCTTATTCAATTATTTGTTGACTTGTTTTTCTTTCTCTGTGTGTTTAGTCAGCCATTAAATGTCAGAGATCATTTCCTTTAGGGAATAACACATTGTAGAAGAGAATTTAAAGTTCACCATCTTCTATTTACTGCTGCTATGAACACTGCAAGAGCAGGAAGTATGTATAGAAGTGCGTCATAGTCATATACCAAGAGGTGGACTGAGCTGATATTATACTGAGGGGAAAGTCCTTAAATTTGGAAAATGTAGGTTCTGATGAAGAACTTTGGTTCATACAACAGTGTATTAAAACCAAAATTTCAAATTAAAAATGAATGACATATATTCAAAATATTAAATAAAAATAAACTGTCTATTAAAAAAATATTTCTGGAATTCATTTGAATAAAACATTTTATTTCATTTTTCACTTGTCTTGATTTTTGCATTCACAGTAGTGTAGACGTGGGAAACATCAATTCTTAAAACATGGCTCTGGTGTAATTGATCGTGCTTATACTATAGTTGGTGCCAAGTGCTGTCCAAAACAGCTGGATAAATACAACTCAGTCACTGCTGTCAGTTTGCCAATCTCTTCAATAAGGTCTATGAAAAGTGTACAGTCAAACTTTTTGCAGTATGATCCCAGGAGGCAACATGATCGAGGAACTTCCCCAGCTTTTTGTCTTGGTCTGTCACTCAGGAATCCACACTCCTCTCAGTTGATGCCACGCACTCCACACCAGAGCCAGACCTCAAAAAATACAATGCCAAAGTAAAAGCCCGGATTTGGCTCAAAATACCTCCCCCAGTTTGTCATCAGACAAACCATCCTAGAAGTAGCAGAGGGTCATGACCACTAGCAACAAGGAGAATCAATGTCAAGGATTCCTCCATGCAAGGAGAATCAATGTCCTAGCATAAATAGCCCATTGAGGCAAAAATGTTTTAATTTTCCCAAAATGTCCTCAAATAGAGTCCATGCTCCTGATTAAGATTTCAGTTCAAGTACATACACACACACTAGTAGTAGTATTAGGATTACCTCATTTTAAATTGAAAATTCATCATACTTGAGTGCTTGTGAATGTCCCTCTGTACTAGGTTCATCAGGGGACAGTGAAGACTGTACCATTGGCTCTCAGGGACTACGAGTCCCTACTCAGAAGTCCTACTCCTCCAGTGAAACACTCAAGGCCTTTGACCAACACCAAGACCAGACCAGGTAAGAACTGCGATTACACACAAAAGGATGTCTACTATCTTGCACTGATCAGAAGTAGCACTCAGAACTTTGTTATTTTATCTTGCACAATGACAATGAAAGCTTTCATTCATTCATAATCCAATGGATATCGTTAGACCTGTATTGTGGATAGTGGATTGTGGATCAAGCATCACAACATATATTTAAATGACCTTTTCTAACGTATAGTTTTTGCTCATCTGGAATGGTTAGAGTAATTACTTTTTTCTAAATTCTGATATGTGCTCAGTAATGTCTACTTCTTTAAGCTGTTGTTTCTGGTTTGTTTGAACTAACATAGCACTTCCTGATTATCCAGTAGGCTAGTTGGCTGAGATACAATTGAGATTAAAATGTATTCCACTCTTTTATGTATATTTGGTTGAGAATAGCAATGTACTGTGTGAGGTGCAGCACATGTTGAATGGATAGAGACTTAATCTTCACCTTTTACTTGAAATATATTTAAATGTGAAATATGTATTTCTAACTTGAAAGCCACCTTAGCTCTGCTACAATAAACATTCAATTTTCAAATGTTTTACAAGAATCCTTAGCTCTTCAGTAAAAGTCAGCGGCTGTTCTTTATTATAGTAACACAACTGACAAATTCTGTTGCTGGTTGCTGATAGGTTACTGTACGGGACAACCAAGGGACACAAAGAAATGGTTCACCGTGAACAGGATGATTATAACAGACAAGGTGAGTCCATTCACAGACACACTCTTTTCTTTCTTTGGTTATCTGTGCAGACTTATAGCAGTTGGCCTCACCTGTTGAAGTAAGTGGGTTCCATGTTTTTGCCTTGCCATCGACTCCTTGAAATGTCATATTAATTACAAAATTCCTCTCATGGGTTCTTTTTAAATGTATGAATACCATGACATTGACCCATATTTATATGTCCTACCATATAAATCTTGACTTAGCATATCCAATATCCAAACTATGTGTAGTTAAAACTGGCTTAACACAGGAATGGTCCACAGGAGCATGTTAAACCGATATATATTATTAAATATGTTTGATGGAGGCTTTAATGAGCTATTGAAAGTGACACATCTGCACATTAAAAGAAAAATACTTAACCAGAGATAGCATCCATTGTTCTCTAGCTCCAATTAACACAGAGTCAATATTTGAGGATTGAAAAAAAAATCATAATTACTCAGTCATCTTATCACCTTCGTTTTCATTGCTGGCCTAATTGGAGCTCATTTAAAATTAATATAACTTTTAATTGAACGGCAGCATTCGCTATCTCTTGTTGTGCCATTAATTACAGAAAGCTTTTATAATTTCCCTTTTCATTTGCTAATTCAAGATGAAGAGGCACAAACTCAGATTATACAGATACTTTGTTTGTCTTCTTTTCATTTATATTTTAGAGGATTGTCACCATTTCCAACTGATATGAAATAGGTACTCTTGATGATTTATTAAATTTCATTTAAAAGGAAATCCGTCAATGTAATCTACTCATTAAATACTTTCCCCGGTCTTCATTCTTTATAATATTGCTGGCAAATGGAAATAAACAACAGCCCATTTTAAATGAATGAGACTTGAACTGGTAAAATCATAGTTGTAGACTTGCGTGGTGAAATTACAGACAAATTGGATTATCTGAGCTGCAGAGTGAACTTAGAAACTTTACATTTATTATTCCTGGCTTAATAACAATGAAGATTTTGTAGTCAATGTTTTTTGTGAAATTAATATGAATTATCTTTATTATTGTTC